TTTACTTTCTTTATTTAAAGATAATCTGGCAGTATTTTAAAATAATAGGTCATTCAGACTGATACAAACAGAATAGAGTCTAAAAGATGTTTTATTTTGAAAATGTAATGATCCTTCAAATGCTCTGCTGGTACTGGCTGACCAGTCCTTGGAACATAAACCTCTGGTATAGATGTAACTACTCCATAACAGACTAATCCACGTTTCTACAATTGATTATTATTTGATTGATTATAAATATTTTAATATCTTGGGTTAAGAAACTCTGCTACATAGATTTTACTAAATGTTTTTAAGCTCCCGTAGGCCACACTAAACAGCTTGGCGGGCCACATTTGGCCCCCGGGCCTTGAGTTTGACACGTATGCACTAAAGGGAGTTCTGCCGTCGCCTTTCCCTATTTTCGTCCTCCATTGTCTGCCCGTCTGTCCCCATTCAAATTCATCAGCACATTTGCACGCGGTCACACACTCTTACTCTTCCACCTCTCCATTCACACCGCTAGGAAATCGTAGGGCAGAGCAAATAATTTGCCTAATGACTTATAACACCTGCCGCTCCGAGGACACGCCGTCTTTGACAATGACAGTCCAATTGGCTTGCTGTGCCTTATTTGCGGTGGGTAGGAGCAACGTGGCCACACACAGGGAAACATTAAGTCAATTCACATTGAGCCGGAATGCGTTTACATCAGGCTTAGACCTGGGCCAAACACTGCATCAGGGCCAATACCTGATGCGGTGTTTGCCGTCTGAGTGGGGGGCCTTGTCATTCACGAATATGCCGATGATGCAGGCAAACACGGCGCTGGAGCAGAGGCAGGCAGCTGTCCCTCTGTCTGAGAAGGAAGTTGATTCCGAAAAGTCAACCTGGGGCAGCAACAGGAGGGAGCAAGGATACAGGAAGTGCAGGCGGGACGGTAAAGGAATACTCATCTCTAAGTAACAGCTGATACGAACTTATAACAAGTACAAAGCTTCATCAGCCAAACAGCCTAAAAGACTTAAACGGTGAAGCTAAGCTAACGAGCTAAGTCCAAATTAAAACTAAAGTTCTTGACTTGTTTTTTTTTAAGATTTAAGAGACTGAAAAGATAAAGTCCAGGACCAGGTCCGGAAAGGTCCGCACCCAAGAGCAACTAAAAACTGAAGTACATCCTTCTGTTTGTCCATGTAACCACAGTGTCATGCAGCGCCACCTACTGTTGAGGACATATTCACGGCTATTGCTTCAAAAATTCCACTAAATTCTATTTTAAAATAAATAATGTAAATTGACCTGCTAACCTGCTACCTTCCTGCCCCCCTTGCAATAACTGCTTGACCCCAAGGGGGACCCAACAACCACTTTGAGAACCACTGCCTTTATGTAAGAGGTAAAAGGACTTAAACATTTTTTTTTTTTTTTAGAACAGTAGTATTAATACTATTTCTATGGTATTGCTAAAAGGTAGTATTAGCAATACTATTAGCAATAGTATTAGGTAGCAATATGACCTATTAGCAATAGGTACTAGGTATTGGTGCTATTAATACTATTAATATTTCATTATACTGATCAGTCTTATAAATACTGTTAATTATTTCCTTACCTTCAGTTGTGGATAGTGTTGATTGGCATCGGCGCCCCCTGCAGCCCTGCAAAGGAATAGGCGGCAGACGATCAATGGATGAATAACTAATACTAGTGTTAGCATCAGTAGTATTTATATAAATAGCTGCCATAATAAAGCCACAAACCATAAACTACGTCTCCCATAATGCAGTGTTTCCCAAACTTTTTTTCTGGGGACCCATATTTTAAAAGTCACAAACTTAGTTAATTCACATTATTTGAGACGACCCAAAAAAACATTCTTGCGACCCACCTGAGGGCCGCGACCCAGTCTTTGGGAAACAATGTCCTAATGCATGTAGTCTTTGCGATCTTTTCCTAGACATCCTGGTGAATGGAAATATCAACAATTAATGATGAGATTCTGCATAAAGCATTGTCAGATTTAATGTTCAAAATGTTGGTCTATTTTGGCTTCCATATTAGTCGGTTTAAGAGTGATTGGATTTGCCCCCCCCCGCTCTCCCCCCAACTCTAGGGAATCTTAAACTATTCACCAGATGAGCTCATTCTCAGGAATGCAGTTCGAGTTCTTTGCTCTGTAAATCTGTAAACACAAAACAGGAAGAAGAGAGAAGGAAGAAGAGTTTGGGTGAGCCACAAATTCATAAAAAAAATAAATAGCAATCAATAAGTCACCGAGTCATTAAGTATCAGATACTTTAATAAATCTGAGACAAATTAAAAAAAAAAAAAAAAAAAAGCAAAACAAACATACAAGTACAACTTAACACAAATATAAAAACAGGTCAAATAGAAAAGACAACAAATCCCAAGAACGCCGCACAGCTTGCACGTTTTTTGTTTTAATAGTAAAAGACCTGACATACGATCTGCAACACAAAGCGATAAAAATATAGCGTCTTGTCGGTAGAGCCCAGATTCCACGGAGAACTCAACCCTCACACCGTGATGTTTGTTTTTCAGTTAAAATAAAACAGGCGGCGACACACAGGACCCAGACATTTAAGAACAGGACACATGACACAGCAGCATCCTCTCGTCATATAAGCCTTAGCACAGAAAGTCAAACTGGACCGACCAATGCTGAGCTGAAATGGCTGGATACATATGTTACATCTTCATAAAGTATCTGAATAGTAGTGGTTCAAATTTGTCTAATCCAGTGTTTCCCAAACTTTTTTTTTCTGGGGACCCATATTTTAAAATTCACAAACCAAGTCAACAGACATAAGAAAATTCAGACACATGATGCGAGATGACCCCCCCCCAAAAAAAAAATTTCTTGCGACCCACCTGAGGGTCGCGACCCAGTCTTTGGGGGAAACAATGGTCTAATCTACATGGACGTTTGTTCTCCTGCTGATCATGTGATGTCACTATCGTCCCTGGCTGTCGGGGGGTGCTACACCAGCTACGGTCGTGTGTTCAGACCGTGACCGCTTCTCTGCGAGCTCTAAATGGTGTGACGATGTGTAGCCCTTGAAATCTGCTGGTGATAATGAGCAACTGCAACCACATTGTGCTAAATCGGCGTTCGAAAAGACAGGTGAAAAACACATGATAAAAGATGGCAGATTTTTTTTTTTTTTCCATTGGATTAAAAGGTCTTTACAATGACCACCACAAACAAGGATTATTTAGTATAAGTTAGTGAACTAAATTGGGGAGAGATAATTAAAAAAATGGTGAATAATGCAAAAGTGTTAGGTTGGCTTATTTGTATCCTTAAAAAATGTCCCAGCCAGAACACAACAGAGGACCACAGACACTGACAGACGCGGTGCTAACGATGTCCCGTTTCTGTTGGATGTAGCGAACACTACAGTACAAAGTGTAACATCGCCCATTCAAAGGTCTTTTTACGCACCTTTGAAGTCAAACAAAAGCCATAAAGCAGAAAGAATGTAAAAAGAGCCACTGAGTCATTTATTGTAAATCTATGAGGTTAGGGATACAGATTTGATAAGGGGATGGGAGGAAAAAAAAAAGGAAGAAAATAAAGAAAGACAATTTAGTGAAATTCATGTTTCTTTACCCTAACTGTTCAACAGTGCACATGTACAAGTCTAACAATTTCATCGGCCTTCGAGAAGGTTCCACTTTTAATTCATACGCTTTCTTAAACTTCTCATACATACTAAAAAAAAAAAAATCATATTTACAATTTGTAAAAGAAAAACAAAAACACGGCACAGATAAAATGCACAACCCTGAAAGGAAAAAAAACAAAACAAATCTTGCTCAACATTTGCCAAGTTGGTGAAATGTTTCTGCTTCCTGATATTATAATAGGAGTTTTAAAAACACGCAATTTAAAAGTGGTGGGGAAAAAAAAACAAAAACGAAATATACAACAATGGGGAACAAAAGGTTAAAAAAAAAATTGTTTAATGAGCACAACCCACTTTTATACGGTTTCACTCTGACTGCACATCGCCTTTCTGATGTGGAATGTTGGTGCCCCATCTCTTGCAGTCACAATGTGGGTTGAATATTAATAAGTGTTGTCAAAGAAAAAAAACAAACCAATAAACGGTAAAAAAAAACCCCCAAAACATAATCAGCCAGTTGTGGTGTAGAGATGTTCCGTGGCACGAGGTGGATTCTCAGTCAGCCACCAGTCCATTATATATCTTTCAGTAATATCCAGGCTGATACTGCTGGCTCCATGGCTTCTGGTTCCAGAACTGTGCAAAGAAGGAATGTTACTTGAGAGTCGACTATAGGAGTTCGGTTGCAAAATCGCAAACTGACACCAATCTGAAACTCAAATTATTTGACGACAGAATGACATATCATATATCAACTGTATAACTGAGATAAGCCTTGTTCTTATAGAGCAGGCATGGGCAAAATAAGGCCCCGGGGGCCAGATGCGGCCCGTTCAGCTTTTGAATCCGGCCCACCAAACGTTTCCAAATTATATAACTGATTGATATTATCATTATACTTCTGCCTTTTCCATGCAATACAGTCGTTTCCCCAATAGATGGTGTAGAAAATGATCAAAGCATTTTCGCATTTACGCATGACTTTTACATGTAATTTATCCTAGTTCCGGGACTTTTACATGTAATTTATCTTAGTTCCGGGCCCCCATGTTCAATTTCAGGACAATTGTGGTCCGCGAATGAAAAAGTTAGCCCCACGCCTGTTATACAGTAATTGTTAAAGGCCTTTTATGTCCGATTTTCAACTGTTACTAATTTTCAATAATGTAAAAATAAAATGGGATGTAATTAAACGGATACATGCAAGGTTGGAAAATGTCATACTTCATTTTGTCACTCTTCTTCTAGTTCGTATATGGAGCTAGCGTAAAGTTACACTAGCTCCATAGCAGAAATACTGACCCCTTGCTGCCAGCTCTGGTTGAAGGCTTGAGCTTTGTCCATGCCATTCCTGTTCCCTCCGAAGTTGCCGCCGTTCCTGTTGTTTCCGAAGTTACCGTTCTTGTTGCCGAAGTTTCCGCGGTTCCCACTTCGCTGCTGAAACTGCCGGGACGGGAAAAACAAGTTGACACGTTTATGGAATTTTCCGGATTCTGCTGGCTGCGAAGTGTCAGACGCCATGTTAGGAAATTCAACAGCTGTTTGTGAGCACACCCACCTGGCCTGGATGCCCTGGCCTGTTTCCACTGCGATTCATGCTGCCTCCGCCTCCCCTGCTCATGTTACCTCTGTGCATGGGGCCGCCTCTGTTCATGGGTGCGCCTCTTGGGCCCATGCCGCCCCTCATGGGACCACCTCGGGGTGAGCCGCCCAGACTGGGAAGGGGGCCGCCGCGGCCGTATCCACCGCGGGCGGGGAATCCTCCTCTGAAGGCTGGAGGAGGCAGGAAGCCGCGGGGTGGGCGGTGGAAACCACCACGAGGACTGGGAACTACAGACCAATCAGAGCACAGCAAATATTTTCACCTGTTAGCATCTGCCTGTTTAACTACATTAACAATAACATCCACAAACAAATCACAATACCTCCTCTGAAGCCGCCACCGCCTCCTCTGGGGAAGCCACCGCGGTTTCCGCCTCTCTGTCCGGGGCCTCCACCACGGCCAAACTGGTTCTTGCCTCCTCGGCCGCCGCCGCCGCGCTGGCCGCCACCTCTTTTTGGTGTTGTGCTCCCCTGGTTGGGTTTCTTCTCGGCGGGCAGGGCGGTCTTGCTTTCTTCTTTGTACTGCTCCAGCAGCTTGGCGACCTTCTCCTTCTCCATCTCGGCGTAGATGACTTCATTAAAGCTCTCGCCCTGCTCAGGGAGAGCGTAGAAGCCTGAAGTGGAAGAAAAAAAAAAAAGAAAGAAATTTAATAAATAAAAAAAGGACCATTGCACCGAAAATTAAGTGGGAGATAAATTGAAGAGCAGCCTTCCATATAACACTCTTTTACCTTTCATTTTGAGGACAGCATGCTCAGGCACATCTTTGCCATCGCTCTCCACCTTCTTCTGAACTCTTTCTTTAAAGTCTTCGTCGGACGGACACACCACCACGGCCTTACGCTGGAATCCCGCAAACAGGCACATCTTCCTCTTCTGGCCAGGAGCAGACAGATTGGTCTGGAAAAAAGAGAAATTGCAAATATAACAAATGTGATTATATAGCTAAAAATAGATTCTTAATGTAAATTATGAAAAAGTCAGAATAGACAAGACCACTGTTCGCAACACTTACATGATCCAGGATGTAGTTTCTCTTTTTGCGCGCAGCAATTTCTATGAACTTGCCCAGAAAAAGTGGTGCTCGCTGGGAAATGGCAGAGAGCTTTGTAATGTCCTTAGACTGACGCTTGAGGCTATTGATCTGAATGGAAAAAAAAAAAAGTTTTAATCAACAATGAGTGGGAATGATGCTGTGTCTATCTGTAAAGTTTTTTTTTTTTTCAAAGTTACTGACCATCATTTTGTCCACAATGGTGTCACTGCTGAGGATATAGTATTTCCCAGGGTTCTCCTGGACGTGGTTCTTGACCCACGTGGTCTTCCCTGAGCCTGGCAGACCAACCATCACGATGATCTACAGAAGGGGTAGGAAAACAGAATTAACTAAAAATGGAAAACTCGGCCAGTAAACAGACAATTTATTATGTCTATGGGTTTCCTTACTTCACAGTCCGCCTTGGTCTGTGGGCCCTTCAGCGCTCGCACCCGCCCACTGACGGGCACCTGCTCCAGGAAGGTGTAGCCCTCGGGCTGAGGATAGTAAGGAGTCTCCAGCTGACCAAAGTTGAACTCCACAGCACAGTTGTGGCAGATGACGTGTGGGAAAAGAGCCTGGCCATTCAAACTGTCCTTGTTGACCTGGAAAGCGACCTGCGGGTCGCCGCCATTCTTGGAGAAAGACATCACCACCTCGGATCCCTCAAAGTCCTGAAATGACAAAACGTAATGAGCCTGTTAGATGGCCAGTAAAATAGTCTACAGATATTAGTCATGCGACTGAATCGCTTTTGCGTCACATTTTGTTGAAACGCAAATAGTAAGTCTTACAATGAGGCAGCAGATGGCATCATTCTCCTCAAAGGTCTCGCCAAAGTCCTCGGTCGTGCAGTTGGCCGTCTTCTTGCCTTTCATGGAGTAGGCATAAGAAAACTCCTCCTCACCTACGGATACGCCATAAAATAAAAA